GTAATTGATGACTCCATTAAGAATGAGACTCTTGTAACGTCTCTGCAATAACTTCCGTCTTTAATGCCTCCTTTGTGCTCATGACTCTTCTGATGCCACTTATGTTCGCCTGTTACGGAACTACGACCATGTAAGCCCTAGGAAGAGTCCGATCTCCAAGGGATTTCCACTTAGCCTGGCGCCTGTTTTCCAAGTTGGCTCTGGTGCGGTTGACCTCATGATGGACCTGGATCCTCCTGTTTGGACCTTTGTGACCCGTTCTTGGGCCCTAGGGAGAGTCCGACCTCCATGGGCTGATCATTAGGCCTGCCATCTGCTGTCCAGGTCGGCTCAGGTGTGGCCAGCCTCGTAGTGGATTCATATTTCCCTGTTCAGGCTGTTATGGCTTCCTCATTAATCCTTCGTCTGGTAGATAACCGACACAAGCTTGAGAGATCAATATGATAGTCCTCATCCGGATGTACCTATGCATTGAAATAAAATTGTGAAAATGTCTGGAGTTCGCTATTGGACTTGAGCCTAGGTAAATGGCATCCAATATTCAATCCAGATTCTATGCTTGGTAGAGTGTGGTGGCCCATATCTAGGACTCAAATCGTTACTCGAGGTTCGTAGTTTGAATCTGACATTCGGAATCACTAGCCCCAGAGGTCGGAATATGATGCCTAAATAAAAGAGCACACATGACTCATACAAAACACAAGAACGAAAGTATGCAGTATATGACATTTAGACCGCGAGCTTATAAATAACACTCGTCTAATGTGATCCGGTAGTGCGAATGTTAGTTCTTTTTTTTTTTTTTGCTTTCGAGTGCTAGTACTCTGTCGGGTGCATTTGAGTGTTCATAAGTCCGTTCTTCAATGTCAAAAAATGCACATCAATCAATAAAAAAAAATGACATAGTTCAAATCGTTGCTCGGGCTGTGTAGTTTGAACTTGATATTCAGGATGACTCGCCCCTAGATCAAAGTGATACTATATCAATTACATATTTTTTATTATGATTCTAATTTTCTATGTTATTTATCATAAGTACATATTATATCATATACGTAGTAATAAATAAAGAAGATGAAACTTGGCTTTTTGAGTTTATAGGTCTCGGTCAATGATCAAAGCCTCAAAGGTGGTAGCAGGCTTTATTCTTCTTTAGCCTGCAGTCTCCTCGGCCCAATTTCTTTTAGCAAAGCCAAATCGGGAGTCTATCTTCGCTGACGGCTTGCTTGGAGGATTTTTTATCTACGCCGCAAAGCCTGGTCTAGCGATCGTCCAGCTAGAGGCCTCCTGCCACCGCAAGTATCCGCCGAAGAAATCCACCTCCATGGAGAAGAGCAACATAGCTGGTCATCGGCGATTTTGGTGACGGCGTCGGAATCTACCGCCTTGGCATGGAAAAGCGGAGAGGGCTCTTAATCCGTCCGAGCAGCAGACCCATCCAAGACGCTGTGGAGAGGCGAGATGTGACTGACGAGGCGGCAGAGCGACTTCAAACAGAGTCTGGCGGCGAAGAAGCAAACTGCCAGAGCCTTGGTCCGTCCGGATCTGTTCTCCTCCTGCTGAGACGAGCTTCAACGGATTAAATGCCGTAGCGGTTAGATGGCGGCTCCTCGTAAAATCCCTGATCTTTGCAGATTTTCCCGTGATTGGGATGAATGTTTAAGAACGATTTTTGTTGGCTATCTTTGTGATGGGATGAATTTCATATGATTTGGGAGGATCTTAACTTGATTTTTGATCAAGCTATCAATGAAAGCACCATTGATGGAATATAATTCCAACGAAAAGAGCTTAATCAATCAAATATTCATTAATCGTGAGAAAGTAATAATAGTATTATTCATCTCGAGAGACCTCTTTTACAACATATGTACATGAGTATTTATAGGCTTTGGGAGTTGATTTTTTGGGAGGAATCTAATACAATAAATGCTAATTAATGAACTATAATCTTGCTCGAAATAGAACTCCTCTCATGCCTTGGACGTTAAGCATTAATCATCTCCTTCTTGTTTCCAAATAGCAATGTCCGAGTAATAGCCTGCCACGTAAATCTTAGGAATATCCCGGCCTCACTAGAACTCCGCCCAGGCTCGAGGCCTGCTTGCCCAGCCTCGAGGTCGGCTGTTCAGCCTGGCCTGGCTGTGGGTTCCTGTCGTGGGCCTGATTCTCAATTAGGCTCAGCGGCTTATTGAGCGCTAATCCCGTTTATGGCTTGATCCCGTTTATGGGCTAATCCTGTTAATTAGGCTGATCCCGTTGATGGGCTGATTCCATTAATGGGTTGATCCCGTTGATGGCCTGATCCCGTTGATGGGCTGTATTATGTAATTGGGCCATGGTCATAGTCCATGGTACCATCACCCTTAATTTTAACAACGCATATGAAGAAAGGTGTTAGTTGTAGATTACGATAAAAACTTGAGTGTTATTATTATTTAATAATATTTACTACATAATAAAGTTAAGTGAGTAAGAATAATATATTATTAAATGTGACAACTCTATCATTCACGCATGTTAATGTGTATATATATGTTTTAAACACACCAAAACACAACATTACTAATCATATTTATGCAAAAATATCGATAGAACTATAACTTTTATGTTTACGACTAGTCTCCGCTTAGGCGCCTAGGCGCTGGGTTGGCGCTCGACTAGCGCCTTTTAGAAATTGATTAGCTATAAAGATTATTTAGGGGCTAATCATTAATAAGAGCATCCTCATTGTTTAGATTATTTGGGGAGCAATTGGATGATGTGGATGATTTTCTTTGAGATTATGAATGAGAAAGTGAGATTATTTGGAAAGATTATTTTCTCAAAAAAACTGGTATCAAATATTGAATTTAGATTATTTGGGGATTTTTGTCCTAATAGGACTAAAACAGTTTGAAAATTCCAAAATAGGACTGTCATGTTTTTTATTCCCAAAATAGGAGTAATTACTGTCAAGTTTGGAAAATACTGTCATGTTTGAAGTCTGGTACTGCCAAAACATGACAGTAATTAGTCCTATTTTGGGAATAAAAACATGGCAGTCCTATTTTGGAATTTTCAAACCTTTTTAGTCCTATTTCGGGTAATATCTCTTTTTTGTTCAATCGTGTAAATCAATGAAAAAGCATTAAATGTTAAGTATAAAACGTTGGAAAAGTTTATGGCAACTTGTTTTGCCTTTTTGATTAATTCTACAAAATAGTGATGGTGTGTAAATTATATACGTTTGAATTATAGTTTGTTTTGGTGAAGGTCCCACAAATAATCTCTTAAATAAAGGTGATGGTTGAGGCAATTTAACAGGTTTTAAGATTATTTCAGATTTTTTTATGTGGCAGTGATGTGGCAAAAAATTCTGCTTTTTTTGACAGCATGAATGTGGATGCTCTAAATGATCGCATAATATCACATATTATTGCGGTAAGGCATATTTTGAACATTCACAAGTAACGGTTCTATTCATTAAATGAAATAAATTTCAAAACAAATTTTTAAAAGGAAATTGTTTAATTATTATTGAAAAAAATAATAAGAACAATTAGAATCATATATTCAAGACTACAATGGGATAAGACATAAAAACAGACGATTCAAAAGGAAACGTTGAATCGCTAATCCCGCAAAGATGTAGATTCTACTTGCAGTTTGACTGCTCCTGTTACAACTTACAACAAAAATAATTATCAAAAAATTCGATTTTACAGCCGGGAAATAAGACATGCACATCGGCTTCATCCATCGAAAAGGAACTATGAATCTTCTAAGTTTTACAAGCCACCGATATGGAATCAAATGTAGAAATTGTCCTGATTTCACCGACCACTAGCAATAAAGTCAACCATGTAATCTAATTTTCCTAGTAATGCGGTGCTTCGAGAGGATGGCAAATTGCCTCATATTGGTGCAAAAGAAGTTAATTTTATGATTGATGAATGAGCGCAAACTTCTTAGTAGCATACACGAACACTCAATTGAAGATGGCGGAAACAACGCCGGTCCTGACTAATTATGGGCCCGGGGCAAAAGACAAAAAATAGGCCCTATAGATGTTAGTGCCGGTGAACGCTTGCAATATATGATCCCCTACAAAAAGCTCGTGATTAAAAAGCGAAAATGCAAAATAGCAATCAGCCAATTGTATGGAAAGATTAAAAGATATAAATAAATTTCAACTTTATATCCTTAATTAAAAACCAATTTCTAAGTAATATACTAGATACAAGTAAACCTAGAGAGAAAAGGATGCTAAAATATGAAAAAGACAGAAGCTATCCGCCACTGACTTAGTACTACAAGTAAACCCATAAAGTAATATACTAAATAATTAAAATTATAAATTAATGTAGTCAATTTACATAATTAATAAATGCCTGTGAGCACCGTGCGCCAGTGCTCGTCCTCGTCTGATGGTTGAATCCTTTGAGAGGTCTAGAGAGGATTAGAGGAAAAGGCAAAAATTAAGAATTTGAGAATTGAGAATTTAATATTTGAGAGCAAAGAATAACGAAGGCTAACGGTTGAATCAATTAAGCAAAGCGCGTAGTTGATTATAAGAGACCGAAGAGATTCATATGATTTGTATCAGGGAGGCGGAAAGATTGAGTATCCAACGTTTGGGAACTAAATCCAGAATTGGTTAGGATTGGTATTAATGTTTAGTTTTCGATTTTTGTGAGGGAGTTCGAAAGTCTTCCTCTCGCATGTGGGCCTTGGCTCAATCTAGAACTACGAAATAGAGATTGATATCTTACCGTATACGACTATACGGAGTACTATTAATTAATTTAGATATTTAGTATTATTAATTTATATATATAATAACTACTATAAAATCTATGGGCCCCTTTTTCATGGCGGGCCCTGGGTAGCAGCCCAGGCTGCCCCTATACTAGGACCGGCCCTGGGCGGAAAATAAACACCTGACAAACAACGAGCCGTCGTAGAATAAAAAATCATTTAAACATCGCTAGGAAAGAAACATGCATAATTAATGAGTTGAAAAAATTGAAAGAAGAGAAGATGAAGTATCCAAATTATTGCATGTACTCAAACTGCATAACTTATTGTTTGATGTGAAATAAGGCTTCATGAATCATATCGCACTCTGATACATTTATATAATAAAATGAAAGTCACATATTTCACCATCATTTTCATTCAAGACATACTTAGCTTCCTACGACCGCTAAAGGGTTGTTGTTATTGAAACGGTGATTAGAGAGAACATAAGCAGAGGCGAGAGAGCTGGAGGCGAAGGCGAGAAAGGCAAAGAAAGACATGGCAATGGAGGCGCTAGCCATTTGTGTGAACTCATCTTTCCCCCAATTTGATACCCAATCTTCCACCCTTGTTGCCGCTGATGATGATGCCGACATCAATAGGTAAGCCAAAATCTGCATCCAAATCAAATCATTCATGCAAATATATACTATCCTTCGTTCTCTTTTAATCGCAACATTGGACTTTTTGCACTATTCATATATTCTACTTTGACTATATTTTATTCATTAATGTATTATAAATTAATTTTTTAAAAAATACTATTAAATTCTTCTTATTCTAAATTTTCAAAATAAGAATTTTTTAATTTTTTTAGTAATAAGAAATGAAAGATATTAATGGTCAAACTTGTGCGTTGGCAAACGTGAAATGTTGACTGTTGCAATTAAAAGGGAACGGAGGAAGTATGTACATTTCAATTCCAAAAATAACCACAGACCGAGTTTTTCAAAAATACTAGGTATTGCCATTGGAATTTTAGAAATTCAGATGTTCGTCTCATATATGAATGTTTTTGGTTTGATTTTTTAAGAATTGGTCTGGTATGATCTAAGACATTCTGATCTGATATAATATTTTTTATCTACACAAATATTTATTATTATTATTATTATTATTATTATTATTATTATTATTATTATTATTATTATTATTATTATTATTATTATTATTATTATTATTATTATTATTATTATTATTATTATTATTATTATTATTATTATTATTATTATTATTATTATTATTATTATTATTATTATTATTATTATTATTATTATTATTATTATTATTATTATTATTATTATTATTATTATTATTATTATTATTATTATTATTATTATTATTATTATTATTATTATTATTATTATTATTATTATTATTATTATTATTATTATTATTATTATTATTATTATTATTATTATTATTATTATTATTATTATTATTATTATTATTATTATTATTATTATTATTATTATTATTATTATTATTATTATTATTATTATTATTATTATTATTATTATTATTATTATTATTATTATTATTATTATTATTATTATTATTATTATTATTATTATTATTATTATTATTATTATTATTATTATTATTATTATTATTATTATTATTATTATTATTATTATTATTATTATTATTATTATTATTATTATTATTATTATTATTATTATTATTATTATTATTATTATTATTATTATTATTATTATTATTATTATTATTATTATTTCTATTATTATTATTATACTACCTCCGTCTCGCTAAGATTGTCCCATTTTACCATTTCGGTTCGTCCCACTAAGATTGTCTCATACCTTATTAAGTAAAGTTTGTGTGGCTCTAAATCATTCTTACTTTATTCTTACTTTATCAATTCAATATCAACCACATAAACCATTTTTTATAGATTTGCATGTCACACCCTCTTGTCCCATTGTTATTGGGACGGAGGGAGTAGTTGATAGTATCATGGATCGCAACCATGGCCCAAGTACGGATTATATATGAACCCATTATACGGGATAAGTAAATCAAACTCATTAATCGGGATTAACTAATAAGAGCCACTAGGCCTAACAGGGGATCATGACCCGCGAAAGGAACCTACAGCCAGGCAGGCCTGAGCAGCAGACCTCGAGCCTGGGCAGGATTCTAACGAGGTCGGACTCACCCTAGGGCGTACGTGGCAGGCTATCAATTGTGTATAGCTATTTGGCAGTGACAGGGATTTAACGGAAGAAACATGGACATAAATGAATAATAATAATTGCATAATAATGGAAAATGTTAGAAGAGTCCCGACTATTAAATGTACAAGTTATATCTCTTTAGGCTAGGGTTTGCTCTCTCCATCGCCGTTCCTAGCTCTCATATGACATAGTATCCAAATTATTGCATGTACCCAAACTGCATAACTTATTGTTTGATGTGAAATAAGGCTTCATGAATCATATCGCACTCTGATACATTTATATAATAAAATGAAAGTCACATATTTCACCATCATTTTCATTCAAGACATACTTAGCTTCCTACGACCGCTAAAGGGTTGTTGTTATTGAAACGGTGATTAGAGAGAACATAAGCAGAGGCGAGAGAGCTGGAGGCGAAGGCGAGAAAGGCAAAGAAAGACATGGCAATGGAGGCGCTAGCCATTTGTGTGAACTCATCTTTCCCCCAATTTGATACCCAATCTTCCACCCTTGTTGCCGCTGATGATGATGCCGACATCAATAGGTAAGCCAAAATCTGCATCCAAATCAAATCATTCATGCAAATATATACTATCCTTCGTTCTCTTTTAATCGCAACATTGGACTTTTTGCACTATTCATATATTCTACTTTGACTATATTTTATTCATTAATGTATTATAAATTAATTTTTTAAAAAATACTATTAAATTCTTCTTATTCTAAATTTTCAAAATAAGAATTTTTTAATTTTTTTAGTAATAAGAAATGAAAGATATTAATGGTCAAACTTGTGCATTAGACTATTAAATGTACAAGTTATATCTCTTTAGGCTACTGTAACCCTACGTCTATAAATACTTCTTGTACTTACCCTAAAAGGATTTGCCTCCTAAATAATAAAAACTGCCTTATGCTGCCTAAATTCTCTATTCTCGTAGATTAGCTCATGTATTTGGAATTAAACTCCATCATTTGGTGCTCTCGTTGAGTGTCAAATTACGACGAACACGATGGTTGGATCACACAGTCGCAACCGTTCTGGCAGTAACCAAGGCGACGCTACAATGAACAAAGTCGTGATTAAGGATGGAGGATCCCGTGCACAGCGATTTCCGAAGGAGGAATGACAATGTGTTGACGCCAGGCGATTTGAGGAATCGCCTGCATGACATGGGGAGTTCTAGGCACCTCACGACTCGTCCATCATAGTTCTGAACACCGGCGACAAGGAATACCGTTCCAGGCATGGATCCGACACAAGCTTTGGCAAGTTTGGCGACTTTTCAGCGGGTTGTGGAGACCTTGACCACGGCTTTCCAGGGAATCGTTCCCAATACGGATGAGAGGCAGCCTACTCCCAATCGTGTGCCATCCGTACTAAACCAGGAAGAAGTGGAGGCGGTGTTTGTGCATCTCCAGAGGAATACACCTCCGGCAAGGTCTCAAAGTTCACATCATTCCCGCCAAACCCCAAGGGCATCAGTGATTGATCGTATCGGGGGAAAGAGGGTTTTGTCCATAACAGACTCTCCTCTAGAATTGAAAGAAGCGAGGAAGCATCCTCTGCACCTGTTTCCTCCCACTATCGCATTGCGAGTGGGGGGGGGGGGATCCCAGGCACGAGGTCCCTTGACATGGGCAAGCCCGCAGAGACCATACTCCCCAACCCCACAGCCAGGCCGACCGAGATGTGGACGACCTCAGAAGATGCCTTGATGAATTGAGAATAGTGGTGGGTGGAGGGGCCAACCCCACCCATGATGTGAGGATTCCCGAGCCATTTATTCCGCGAATCATGGATGCCCCACTACCTCGGGGGTACAAGCCTTGCAACATCGAGGCCTATCAAGGCAAAACCATCTCCCCGGCACCACATTTCTAAGTACATGACATACATGCTGATGATGGGGTATGATGATGCAATCAGATATCGAGGGTTTTCAGTGACCCTGGATGTGCTAGCTCGAGAATGGTATGACGCCTTACCCGAAGGGAAGATACAAAATTTATGGGAGCTAGCCTCGGCATTTATCGCACGATTTTCAATTTCAAAGGATCCAGAGAAGAACTTCTCTCACCTTCTAGGCGTCAAACAAGGACGCCAAGAGACCTTAACTACCTTCCAGACTCGTTGGAGGGACGAATCTGTAAAAGTTGAGGTCAGGTGAACTGCACAAAGAGTTCAGGTGAACTGCACAAAGAGTTCATACGATAACCCCTGACCTCCCACGAGGAGTCCCTACGATGATCTGACTTGCAAGTGGAAGTGGAAGAGGCAAAAATCAGAAAAGAGGGGAAGAATATGAAAAGCTTCAAGCCGATAAGGACAAACACAAAGGAAGTGAGTTCAAAAGAAAGAAGAAGGGATGGAGCAAAGGGAAATCAGGTGCACCTGATGGACCTTTATCCAAATAGTCGGAATTTTCCCCATTAACACATCTGGTGAGTACAGTCCTAAATTATGTCGCGCAACAAGGCTTAGTGACGGTGTCCGACACCTGTGATGTTATCAATTGCCAGGCTAGTCGTGGGAAGTATTGTAAGTTACACAAGAGCAACGCCCACGAGACGGATGAGTGTTATGTGCTGAGAAAGTATGTAGAAACGCTCATTCGAGATGGATAATTGGATCAATTCGTGAAAAAGAACAGACGTGGGTCATGTTAGAGCAAGAATTTGACGGTTTATGTTGCATTTAAGAGAGCTGACCACAAGAGTTAATGGAGCGTCCACCAATCTCATTTTTAATTATTGTAACGTTTTCTATACATTATTAGGCTCTTTAATGTTATTAAGGAAGGTATTAAATGTAATTGATCAGCATTTATGACAGATTTGAAATCGTCATAAAGTACGGCCAACTCGTCAGTAACGGACGGCCAACCCGTCAGTAACGGACAAAGCCATCATGAGAGCATTAACTACCCTTCCTATAAATAGGACATCCCCCATTGTAACCAGCAACGACAAATTCGAATAATACACTGAATTTCACTCTTATTTGCTCACTTGTCATCATCTTCTTCATTGTTCTTGTACGAGACCCTATCTACATATAAATCTTTTTTTAAAATTAGTTTTAGCTCGTCAAAATTTTGCTAAAACAATTTGGCGCCCACTGCGGGGCCTCGTGCAAGAAAAACTATCATCCATTGAAGGTCATAGCTCAACGTCGATGGCGAGATTCAAGATGGAATAAAAAACTATGAAGGAAGAAACGAAACATATCGTCTTGCCGACTGATCATATACCAACCGACACCGCTGGTTTCATCTCATTAAACTCAACAACACCTTATGGGCTTAAGAATGCAGGGGCAACTTTCGATGGCTAATGACGATGGTGTTCAAAAATCAAATTGGGAGAACCGTAGAAGTGTACACAGATGACGTGATGGTTTCATCGAAATATACCTCTAGAGTTTCCTTATGTGGTTGGATATTTAGGCGCATTTTTGGAAGCAATGCAATCAGTAAGTTCTACTCAAATCAGAAATCTTTCAAAATCCCCGCAAGGGGGCAATAGTTCACAAACAACTTATTGTGATTCCAAAACCGTAAATACTGAAGTCGAATGTGAAGAGCTCATTTCGAGTCTCACCATGGTCAAAGAGTTAAGGGTGAAATTATTCCAGGTAAGTAACATCTCTGTTTTTTATTAAGAATCATATTAATCGTGTATATGCAACAAAGAGTCAAAAAATGATGTCAACCTTGACATTGTCAAAATCGTGACAGTTTGATTCGACGGACGTACCATCCAACGAGTCTCAAGGAAAGAGAACACGTAGGCCAACAATCAGACTGGTTTTAGGGACGTGTCGGGTCTTGAAGCCAATGGAGACATCACATTGGCGCATTTGACAAAATCGACGGTTGACGGGGTTGATAGAGTCAACAGTGTCAAATTATTTGCAGACGAGTCAAGCATGCAACCATTTTTAGATGAGGTCTTCAGAGCCTAATGTTGTACTCCTTGTAAGGTAATAAGTAAATTTATAATTATAGATGACATATTGCTCAAAATGTCAAAGGCAGGTGATGTGTGTTTTCTCGCACTTAAAAATGATGTAATATAGTGGTGGAAGTACGAGTATCATCTCCACAGAGACGGACAAAAGGGAAATAAAAATTAACTAAATTCAGCGATTAAAAAGAAATAAATAAAATAAAATGCAATTGTGCGAGATTGGTTGATTGATTAAAATAAAACTAATGCAGATGAGCGATTAAAATAAAAGCTTGGTTTCTTTCTAATTAACGACGAAGGGAACAAGAATTGATTCCGGGGTTAACCAGATTTCTGGCAGAACAGGCCTAATTACATGAATTTAATTTAATTGAGCCTAACTAATCATTACTAAGTTCTTACCGCTCTCGCGGCGTAGGGTACAATAATTTAGGGGACTAGGCTGATCTCATGCGACAAGATCCTAAGTTATTGTCAAAACGAGCGAGCTTACGGCCCCTTAATCGTTACTAATCTCTTAGCGAACGATTAAGTGTGTGTGAATGTGTCCTAGAATAAACTAGATCTCTCTTAATTTATTCTACAAGCAATTGTAATTCTAGCCACGGTTCCAGGTTACAAAAGATATCGGTTAAATTATTCAAACACAAATTAAACGGCATTCATGCAATTAAACCAACAAGAATCTAGCCATCAATCATGATTAACCCCTTCATCAATCCCAAATCTCTAATTAAACTACTCACAATTCATAATTGAAGAATCAATAGAATTGGGATGAATAGAAATAATTGTCATTAATTAAACAGATGAACTTACAAATAATCTCAGGGTCTTGGAAGAAAATAGTGTAAAAACGGTGTTAAATTCGTCCCTAGGCCTCTCCGTAATGTTCGTAACGTCAAAATATGTGTATGAGGGTCTTATTTATAGAAAACAGATGAGTTTGGGCTGAACTCGGACTAAAAAGGGGCTGAAATCCGCGTTTCGGGGGTACGCACGATCGTGCGTACCTTGCCACGCACGATCGTGCGTACGTGGCAGTGGCTCTCTTGCTTTCTCGCCTCAGACGCACGATCGTGCGTTCCCCTACGCACGGCGTGCGTCCAACTTCCGAATTTGACAAAACTTACTTCATGAAAGTTGTAGATAATGAAGTCTTCTATCCACCCCAATTTGCCAAATATGATTTCAATCATCCAATCAAGAGATATGATCAAAACGGTGGAAGGTGTCATTCTGAAATCGCAGCAGAGATCATCTGATTTCATCGTCTGTTTTCACCTTCTTGCTCTCATATTCTCGTAATGGTGTATTCATATGATTTGTATACCTTGAAGTTGGATTTCATATGCAACTTGAATCGTGTCCATTGGTTGTTCTTACAAAGAGATATGCTTGAACGATTGACAGAAGGTCATTCTGATCGTCGTTTTCAAGCTTCATTCATCTTCTTTTGATCCCGAAGCCAATCCTAGAGCTCTTTTGTCATCAAATCTTCATCGTAAAACCTCCTAGTGACCTTCATAGCTCTCAAATCCACTCTCGAATACATCTTGAATCATCCCGATTGCTCCTCAAGTG